AGAAGAAGTCTGCTGTTGATAAACCCGCTGCTGTGGGGCAAAAAAATGGTTGAAGAAGGTGTTTGGGAGGCTACAATAAAATATTTGAATTGGAAAATAAAGTATTTAAAAGCACGATATGTTGTGTTTAAAAGGTCATCTACATAATTTATATTAGGTTCACATTCCATTCATTAAAAATATATTTTCTAGTCATCTGATGTAATGTTTCACTCATTTTCTATCATAATAAACAGAGATTAAGGATGGAAAACATCAGTTTTTGTTTAAATGATCAATACATCGTGTTTCACTTAGTAAACTGAATCACTGAAAATTTCAAAGCTATTCAGATGTATTAAATATGACTATTTATGTGATAAAATACCCGGATAACACACACACACACACATACATATATATACGTATATATATACATATATATATATATATATATATAAAGCATTATCACCTACTGGTCTTATTACTAATCTTTCCCCCTGAGCAGGATACACAGGTGAAACAGCATTCAGGTTGATTCTTTTCTCTGGCCATACGAGTTCCTGGAGGGCAACTTTCACTGCAAACTGATCGCATTGGCTGGAAACATTTGAAAGGAAAAATATTGTTATTTACAATGCTTGATATAAATTCCACATAGAGGAGGTTTGCAAAAAGAAAATACCTTATTTGAATCTGTGTTCCAGAAGATGTTGTTCTCGTCCAATGTGAGTTCTTCCCCCCCAGAGATTGACTTTTTTACTTCACCAACATTTTGAGTTCCTGTTTTGCCATCAGGCAGTTGTTGCCAATTCATGACATCATATATTGGTAGGGCATCACCGTTCTCGTCAAAAGACACTTGATCCCCAAAGTTAGTAGAAAAGTTGACTTTTTGCAAGTAATGTAAAACCTACAAATGGAGAAAAGACTTAATTAAGTAATTAATGACAGACTTAGACTTAACTAAAGCTTGTCAATTGCTTACCATTAAATACTTTTATGTTATTTATCATATTAATTATGTCTTTAAAGGAGATGTTCGGTCATATTCAAAAATTCAAACTTCTGAAGGTACTTTAAATATGAAATTATTACATACTGTTCAATAAATAAGTGTTTTCAATTAAGACTACAGTAATTTTCATTTGAATGTGCTTTACTGGACCCACACGTTTGTAAAATAACACTATTGCCACCTTTTTTGTGACATCACGGTGCGGTATCGGCTGTTGATCAAGTCCCAGTGCTGTATCTGGTGTTTATCACAACGTGCCATTATCCAAGTCATCTTGAAAGCATTCTTCTTCAAAATGTTGGCTACATATAAGGTGTTTTTTTCTCTGGCCAGAAGTTCAATGGCAAATCCTCCCTTTTTCACTTTTACCAACAACATCCAACTGCCATGCACGTGGGTGTTGTCAGTTTAACTATAGCTCTCGCAAATTCTAATGGTGAAGTCCTCTCGAAATTTAAAAATAATTATTGTTGATTGTAGGGGTGTCTAGTAGTTCCCACTGATTTTGCTTGTAAAGCCATGTAATGACCATTCCTAGACTCCGTGATTGCGACGAAAATTGTTTTTTTTATTTTTTCACTCATTAACGCTAAATTCATTCAACCACCGCAAACGTATTAGTTTTAGGTATAAATTATGACCTCTTGATTATTATTTGCTGACTGCAATGGTCCTTTAAAAATCAAACTACCTAAAGTAGTCATTACCAAACTTTTCAACCTACCTAAATGGGGATATTATGAAAGTGAACACACCATATAGTGGCAGTCTTTAATTTATCTATATGCATATTTTTTTTCGAAATAAGGACAATATTCAAATAATTTCTATAATTTACTTTGACTACTGAAGAGGATCTCAAGTCTAAGGTGACCAGATGCCCCGATTTATGTGGGACAGACTGGCGTTTTGCACTTTTGTCTAGCCATCACAAAAAAAAACAACAAAGCAGAATCCCACATTAAACTGGGCCAAAGTATAAAAGATAAGTAATATACTATATACTGTATTAAAGAATATATTACCAGTGAAATAAAACTCAATTTTTTTTTTTTTTATGAATTTCAAGTTAGAGATGGCCAAATGTAGTCCGAAATCTGCAAAAACAGTTATTAAATTAAACTAGGCACAATATGGAAATATTTGAATAAAATCAACATCATCAACCTGTTATATTGTCTACAATTTTTACTTTTGCACAACAATGTTGTACTTATACAGTGCAAAAAGATAGTTGCTCCTATTTAAATAGAAGAGCAAACTAACCTATGTTGGGTGCAAATGACAAAAAAAAAATGATACCCTTTGTTGTAAGCCATGCCTGTCAAACCTTTACAATAAACTGCTAAAGAATACTTTGCCTTTTATAATTGAGTTTTTATGCAAATGAAATCATCCAAGCACAGTAGCTGTTCTTAAAAAACATTTACACATATCTGATCATACCTGCCACGGCTCCACAGCCTGTAAACTGGCACAACTATGTCCATTAAAAGGTCCTTTTCCTGGCTCGCACTGCAGCATGTCATCAAGGGCATAAGCCAGAGCATAGACAGCCTTGTAAACATTGTAGTCAGGTCTGAGGTTTGAAACATCCAAAAACTCTGTCTCTGCCAGTTCAATGTTTTCATTACCAGTGCATGCAGTTTCCTTGTCGTTCCAATCAGAGGGCTTGAATTTGCACTTAAATGTGTGCTCCCAGAACTGCTTCACCTGGACCACATTCAGAAATATATAAAAATATGTTCACCTTGATATTAATCTAATGGCATTACTGTGGAGGCATTTTCAAGAAAGGAATGATACCAAGTTATTTCCATTGTTGTCATTTGTGTCAGGGCGTATCTTTAACAAAAAGTCCTTAAGCCCTGGTATTTCTCCACGCCGTATTGCAATGCCCAGCGTACCTCTTAGGTATGGTGCGAGTTCTCGTGTCTGGAGAACGGATGCTGTTGTCCAGGCTTCACTGGCAATCCATTGCCGACCGGTTACATTCTGCTGTGCCACCTGATATAATAAATATGTATCAGTTGAAATATCCACATTCTTATTAGTCCGAGTAATAATTTTATAGACGGATGTGTGTATTTCCTCTAATATCTGATGACAATATTTTGAGGCAAATCAATGTTTGCAGCAAGGAACTTCGTATCTTACTTCTCTTTGAACGCTATCAAGTATTAGTTGAGAAAATCTTATTGTTACATTTTTATAAGGAATAATGCAACTCATAGAGATAAACCATGTTGGAGTTTAAACTTAAACAACACTTAAATATTCACCTCTTTCATTAGTTGTATCATGTGAATTTCATGTGCAAAAACAATGACAACACGAGCTGTTGATGTCTTTATCAAGTTTACAATCCTCCTGAGCTCATTTGGGTTAGTGTCCCAAGGCAAAACCTCAAGATAGGCCAGGCAACTTTTGCCAGATTCAGCCAGGTCAGACTGAAAGGACTGAGCCACATGAAGTCCATAGTCATCATCAGTCACCAACAAGCCAAACCATGTCCAACCAAAATATTTTAGAATTTGAATCATGGCACGAACCTAGAATAAGGTAAGGGAGTTAGAAAACGTGTTTCGAATTTTTTAACCTAGAACTGAAATTATATGTTGTCACATTAATCATGCATACAGCTGGAAATAAAATTGTAAGTATACAAACAGCATAGGAACAGATATTCTTTTCTTATCCAGCTGTCATAGATAGAAAATATGTTCTTAAATTGGGAATTAGGATCACCTGGAAAGCATCACTTGGGATTGTTCTAAAGAAGGTGGCAAAACGCTGCCGATCACTAAGACAGGAACATGTGGCAAAATAACTCACCTAAGAAAAGACAAGTTGTTTCAATGGAATCAGACACAGACTATTTTAACATAAAGTTCTTATAAAAATGCAATAACACACACAAAAAAAAAACATAGCAACACTTACAATAGGCATCTTGTATAAACCTAGAACATTGGCTGAGGCAATAGAAAAAGTTGAATAATGATCACCAACAATCCCCACTACAGGAGGGCTTCCAGAGCAGTTCTCCTTAAGCAGAAACTGTTCCTCTTGGCCGCTGGCTAGAGATAAGGCACCACTCAATCCAATAGCAAGTGCCCCACAGTTATCATAGAGGCTGTATCCCAGGGTCAAGTTTGGAAGAATTTTGGAATTCTTGTTGATCTCATCGACAGCAAAAGCCATGGTCATTGCATGCCTGAAGCCTAAAGTGTCAAAGCTGTAGGACACAGAGTATAGCCATGAGGTTTAAAACAATGCATCAAAAGACCATGCAATACTTAAGAAATAACCAAACCAGCTTACAGTTTTCTGTTTATGTTTTAAGTTTTTTACTAACATATTTAAAAAGCTCTTTACAAGAGAGTTTAATCCTTTATTCAGTAGAATGAAGCACCATTGTCCTCAACGTGTAGCATGTGGGATACTTACCCTTTGCAGACGGGCTGCTGTGGCTCTGATGTAAAAGTCAGTTTGGGGAAGACAGAGGTGTAATGGACCTCAAAAAGCCCACCTAGAACCACATCCCCAAACTTGTGCATTTCATTTAAGTTAAACTTTCTCCTTGAATTACATGTTGAAGGAAGAGAAAAAGTAACACAACACAAGACCATAAAGTAGATAGTCAAGAGTGGATATATGTTCAGAAGAGCCCCCATTATTACCCTCATCCCTTCACATCTTTTTGTTCTCAATACAAAGATGCTTCATTTAATATGGCAGGTGGTGCCATCTCTTTTGCATGATTCACTTCAATGTTTATAGCACCAATGAGGAATAAAGGGGCAGGACATAACACATGTCAAGAATAGTAGGAAAACTGGAGAGACATGAACTACGTGTAATTGACAGAATTTATTATTTTTTTATTATATATTCCTGAATTGTTTTTCTTTGCTCCATTGACCCATTTTTTATTACAGTTTTTTATTTTGATGTAACCTTTTTGCATCATCAGTTATGCAAGGACAGAGGTATCTCTGTTAGTATACTGTTTTTTTTTTTTTTGCAAAAGTATCCATCTCCCTTGAATTTTTTTGCCTTGTATTGAATCACATCCACAATCTTTGATTTATCTATTGGGATTTTGTCAGGTAGAACAATACAACGTGGTGCATAATTGTGACATAAAAGGAAAATTATACATTGTCTTGCAAATATTTAATACAAATAAAAATATGATTTCTGGCATACAGTAAATTTGAATAGCGAAAAACAGTCAAAACTCCAGTGAAAAAGATTTGCCCATGTAGAGAATTTTTTCTTTTTTTTTCCAAAATGCTCAATCTCCGTTTGATAGGTTAAGATTTTAAGTGCCTGTTAAAAAATATTTTCAAGGATTACTGTAGACCTTAGTAACTGTAATCAAGGCTAGACTGTAACTGAAAAAAAAAACATCTGTTGCAAACTGAGTACTTTTTTAGCTAGCAGGTTTCCCTGTTTCTTTTATTAAGGTCTCGTTTTTATCTTTTTGGCAAGGGTCTCTAATTTTTCTAAAGTTCTGTTTTCCTGTAGGGATGATGTGGTCAGGGTGAGAGCAATAGTTTTCATCCTCAAGCAGCATTTTTCATGAAGGTAAATATAAATACTGGTGTCTTCTGAGCAAACTTTTTCTTTATATCTGCTAACCCTAACCCTGCCCTTTATATGGTTTGTGTTCTTGAAGAGTTGTCATGTGAACCTATTCCCCCGCACAAGCTGTGGAGCATTATAGCTTCTTCAGGGTTGCTGCTTTGTGGTTTTTTTGTAAATCATCTCCTTGCCAGTTTAGATTGATATTTTTGTTTGCGTAGGCTTGAGGTTGGGCTTTCATTTTTCTTTTTCTTTATTTAACCAGGTAAACCCCATTGAGATCTGGGTCTCATTTTCAAGGGGGACCTGAGCAGAGATCTGCAATACACTGCAACCTGGTTACAAAAAATAAAACCAATTAATACATATGTACAAATATAAGACACTGTTTCATAGAAGCTTGCTGTCTATCTTTAAGATAGACATATCTTATATTTCCATTTTCAGATGACAGATTGAAGAGTGCTCCAGAGTTCAACACTTGAGATATTGTTTAAGAACATAACCCTACTTAAAAGTTCTACCCATCCTCATTCATGTCTACCATGTTACTTGGTCTACATGAGGGTCTTTGTTCATGAGTATACTCTAAAAAATCCTGGTGACCTTTACAGAAGAGCTATCTTGAATTAAATTAGACAGAGCTGGACACCATTGATAATTTGTAAATACTGATTTGTGATATATTTCTATTTCTCGGTTCACTTCAAAAAATGCTACTGCTAAGAATTTGGTTATCACATAAAATAGCAATAAAATATAATATTATAAATATATAAATATAATCGATCTGACAAAAAGTGAATCACATATTAATACGTTTTCAGATACTTAAAAGAATTTCTGAATGTAAGTTTAGGGGAAGGAACTGCTTGAATAAGTTTAAATATTTAATTAATTAGGTTGTTTGTTTGCATGTTATTTTTTTTATTTTTTTGGTGTCCTGTTTTGCCAATAAACCTCTGGGAATCTACAGTAAGTCTCAGAGCTACATGAAAGCCCAACAGATTCGCTTTCACAAGCAGACCATTATGCTGTAGCTAAAAGGTTCCACTTGGACCTCTGATACGAAACTTTACTTAAAATGATTAAGAAATATACAACTGACATGGAGATGGAAAGGAAGGTGAGAAAGAAAGAGTGGATAAAAACTAAGAGGGGATTTAAAGAGAGAGAAAGGAAAGAGTACATGAAAATAGAGAAAACAAAACGAAACAACAAAGATAGACAATACAGAAGATACAGAGTAACTCTTAGAAGTCTGCCTCCACACTTGCAAGAAATGTGATGTTTGTTTGCATATTTATTGGGCTCAAAATGAGGGCAGTGTTGGCATAGCGAATAACCCACATCAGTAAAATCAGTGTGTACACTTACATCAGCCACAGTGTAGTACGAGTTACTAAGCTATCTCATCAGATCAACAAAGTCTTTCCTCAAAAAGAAAGTTTGGCTGGATGCAGCTATTTCTGCACCCAGCTCCCGAATTTCACGCTACAAACAAAAATGCCATCTGCCCAACGGAAAAAAGTTTAGAGTACAATCAACCCTCCAACATCTCTTAACTTGACTTGCCAAAACAAGACAACAAAAGAGAAACAGAGAGGTTACCTGTCAAGAAATGGTAGGGTTCCACAGGGGTAGCTACCTTAAACCAGGTGAGTAATCAAGCCACAATAAATGCAGGGCTGCAACTTTCTTCAAGAGAGAATTCATTCATCAAACAGTAGTAGATTGACTTTGGAATTAGAACTCGATGAAAGTCTTCTAGCATGAAAAACTTTATTGAACAGCAGAACTGATTTTTCCCCTTTTTATTACAACATTCTTTTATTATAAGAATTCAGGCAAGAAAAAAAATTTTAAACATGGTCTGTGGGTAATTTCAGAGTAAGATTATGGTATAAAATTGTATGCTTTATAACTCTAATTTCGCAGGAGCAAATTCAGAAATGGCAGTAAAAAAAATAAATCCATTGCATTTTCAAAGCCTTTCGGTGCTTTAGATTCAAGGTTTTATGTGAAATCCTGAACAGAACTGAATCAGATTATGTTTGGGTGATATTTTATGTCTCAAACCTACCCTTGAGGATAATATGTGTGGCCACTTCACTCTATTTTCCATTTAGTTTTCATAAATCAATTAAAATGTTTTAAATCAAACTTTTTTTCCATTTAGTGCTGTTGTACATGCAAGAAGAGATGATTTTAGCTAGATTTTTTATCCCTCTATTAGATTTTATTGACAGAACAACCAAACTTCAGAGTTGCACACTGGGGAAATACACTCAGGAGATAAAAAGTGAGTGTATAATGAAATACCCCAAAGAGAGAAACATAAGTGAATAATATCATTTCCACAATCTTTAATTGTTTGGCATGGACAGTTTAATATTTTGTGGTTCCATGACCCATTAATGCGTTTTTTTTATTTCTCTCTGAAGATTTCTTGCTAAGAATGCTGACATAAAGCTGATAAAAGCTAATAAGCCAATGTAGCAAAGTAAAACAGCAAATCCATAAGTTGAACCAATTTCACATTCATAAACTATTGTGTCATTTTGGTAATGTGTGTTTTTATGCGGCATCGGTGAAGCAGAATTGGTACACACAGTGCAGACTAGGGCTTGAATGCAAGTGGGAACAAAAACGGTTCTTCTTTGTTGTGTTGGACCAAACCTTTTTAACACTGCTCCACCTGCTGGTTTGGAAGCTTTAAACACAGCCCGAACCACCGTGGTTTTAACCAGTATGCATGAGACACAAAACACAAAGCTTATCCCAAATACTACTTGCCTCAGCTGACATATCTACAGCCTGGGACATCCAATGAAAAGCAGAGAACAAAGGAAGGACAATTTAAGTGACACTAAAAACAGGAAGCTTAGCTCTGCATTATTGGCTGGTACAATGGGATTGCTGCTATGATAGGTCAAAATTCCCAGAACTTTTGAAGTTATTTAATTATATGTTATATACACACAAGCATACATATACATATATACTCACAGCTTATGCTTTGATTCTTACCTCTTCTATCAGCATAAAGGTGTGAATCTCATGGGCAAACACAATGACAATGTGAGCTGTGGACAACAATTAAATTTATAATTCTCTTCAGTCCAGCTGGTTTGCTATCCTAAGGCAAAACCTTAAGATATGCCAGACAAGCTACCCCAGTTTTTGAAAGTTATTATTGAAAAGACTGGGCAACATAGAATCTGTAATCATCATCAAAAGCCTATCCGCATCCAAAATTCATCTTAAAAGTCCTCTGATCCATTTGTATGCTCGTGTGCGCAGGCGTTTCAACCCACCTCCAGCCTCTCCTCCAACTTCGTAGCTAAAGCTTCATCAGAGTGTCATTCCTCCTGGACTCTTACTGCGTTTCCTGTCTCATCTCAACCGGTCCGGCAGAAGACCACCATGTTGAACCTGGTTCTGCCAGAGGTTACTTCCCATTGGGGAGTTTTTCCTCTCCACTGTCGCTTCATACTTGCTCATCATGGACAGGTTCTCTTAACCTGTGTTATCCAACTGGACTTCCATCTTCCAGGTCCCTGAGTGAAGCTCTAGTATCAGCCGACGCAATCCACTTGATCTTCCCTTAAAGCTCAGCATACCGTCTCACTAATCAGCATTCTACAGACTGACCAACTTCATCTATCCATCCCACCACCAGTTTCAGTCCTGGGGGGAAATAGCCCTAGTCTTTGCTCCTGTTCATGCATATCTATCAAAATTAAGTGCTATGTTTCCTGCCAAGGTCTGAGCGCCAAAGACAAAGTAATTGTATCAATACATTTCTCCTAATCGTCCTTTCTCTTCGTGTGAGTTTTTCAGATTGAACTAAAAATAATAATAATTTATTGTATTCAATGTGAAATACCCTTTACAGGTTGGTTGTTCTGGTTCTGATGTATATGTGATTTCAGGAAATATAGAAGTCTAGTGGACCTCAAATAGCCCACCTAGGACCACATCACCTGGCCTAGGCATTTCATTAAGATCAAACCTTTGTAGTCTACAAGAAGAAAAAATATATATATGAGGCAACAGATATCAAAAGGTAAATCAAGAGTAAACGTGTGAAGCAAACCTCCCATATTTCTAGTCCTCCTTATATTACTCATGCAAGAAGGCAAACATTTATATGCATATGTACTATTATGTCATTACTGACATGGTCTTTAACACCAAAATAAACTATAATGGTAATCACTATGATTAAAAGACCCAACAGCTATCAATTATTTAATACTTTTATTCAATCTTTTCTTTATTGAAGGTTTGAAGAAAAATTATTTATTTTAGTTTTTTGCACGATGTATAAAATGTAACAGTACAAAACTTTATATTTTTATTTAATTTCATAAAATATAATGTGTGTTCTACTGTGTGTATTTCATTAAAAATATATTTTGATACGTGTTGCAAATGCAAAAAGAATGCATTTTATTCTTAATTGTATTTCCTCTGTTTTCTCTGTTAACATATGTAAACTCTGGAGATTTTGGAGTATGGAAATTACATATTAAATGTAAGATGATGCTAATTCTAATATCCCAATCAGGATTTAGCCTATAATATTTCGGGTTCAATTCACCAAACATTTTGTAAAAGCTGAGTTTGTGTGTCCTCCTAATATCCAAACCACATCAAGGGAAAATCTGCTCCATGAATAGTTTTTTTTTAAGCAATGTCTCAACATGTAAATGATTTGTTATTCATGTTGTGAGAATGTAGTCATCAACACCTTAAGGAGGCTTTTAAGAAAAAAATTACAGAATAACAGTCAAGAAGGCACAGTGTCTATATTTTATTTTCACAATGCATGATTAATTAGTACAATAGATATGTATGTTTTCTACACAAAATCATTTTTAACTTCATGGAATGGGGTAAAGGGATGAATGGTTCTACTCCCTTATACAGGCTTCAGGATTAAAACAAAAATAAACAGTTTAGAGAAAGGCATTTGTTGTAATTACTGCTTGTGTTGTTGGTTACTGTGGAGGACAGTTGCACTAGAAACAGAAATAGCTGACATTGCTTGAACATGAGTTTGGTGCACTACTGAAGAAGACATGTAAAATGACCAAAAAACAGAGAACATTACATTGCTTTATGAAGTTTTACTTAAACTTATAAATAAAAAACTATTGCAGATATTGCAACATATTATAAGCCTATAAATCTGAGTGAACATAATAGTTTCTGCTCATAAAAATAAAAAATAACTGTTCTTCAACTTTTGGTTGTGGTATGACCCATGATGGATTTCTTCGTGTTTCTTTCTGGTCTTAGTAGTATTATGTAACACTTAGGTCCAAATAGCGCCACCAAGAGACCAAAACTGGAGGCCAGAATGGCAAACACCTCCACTGCATCTGCATATTTACCTGGAGAGTTGATATAAGCCGGAACAAATGCCACCCACACAGCACAGAAAATCAGCATGCTGAAAGTGATTAGTTTGGCCTCATTAAAGTTATCTGGAAGATTTCTAGCTAAAAATGCTAACATAAAGCTAAGAATGGCTAGTACACTGATATAACCCAGTAAAGCACTGAAGCCGATTGTGGACCCTACTACGCACTCATACACAATCTTGTCATTGTGGTACTGAGTGTTTTTATGAGGTACTGGTGAGACAGTGACTATCCAGGCAGTGCAAATTGCTGCCTGAATGCAAGTAAGAGCAAAAACCGTTCCTCTCTGCTGTACAGCACCAAACCACTTGAGACTGGCTGCACCACCTGGTTTAGAAGCTTTGAAAACAGCTAAAACCACCATTGTTTTAACCAGAATGCAAGAGACACAAAGCACAAAGCTTATTCCAAATGCAGCATGTCTGAGTTGGCATGTCCACAGTCTGGGTCGACCAATGAACAGCAATGAACACAGGAAGCAGAGTTTAAGAGACACTAGGATCAGAAAGCTTAGTTCTGCATTATTGGCTCGTACAATGGGTGTGCTTCGATGATAGGCGAAGATCCCCAGAACAACAGCACAAATAGATGTTCCCAGCAATGAGGTCACCGTCAAACAGATGCCCAGAGGTTCCTGATAGGAGAGGAACTCTGTTTTTTTAGGAACACAATGATCACGCTCTGGGCTGGACCAGAAATCTTCAGGACAGCTAACACACTCCAAGGAGTCTAAGAAAGAAATGAGAATCACATTTGTTAAGCACAAGCTCACTAAATAGATAAGATATCAATTAAGCCGAATATTATTAGTTAGTAATTCAGTTTAGCAGAATGTTTGAAAATGGCACCTTTGATGCTGATATCAAAAGGTAATGATATGTATGATGTAAAAATAAATTTTAAGGTGTTACATTTCTGTTTTTGTATCGACAATATACTTTCGCTTAATGTTCCATGGCTGTGTGGAGGTAGTATTCTCTCAACATCTACTGGGAAGCTAAATCATGGTTGCACAATAACTCCACTGCATTGAACCTACAAGAGAGTGACTCTCCTCAACATCAAGCACCTGATTTATGGCATCTAGCTTTACAACTGCAGTCAGAATATCAAGACAGAAAACAGAAAAAGACAACCTGACTGGATTCTATTAAGATGAGATATTCCAGTAGTTTTATTCTGCTGATCTCCAGCTGTAAAAAAAACTTAAAGAAGTGTATTGATCCTTTTTATTTTGCTTTAAATTTAGGGATATTTAGTCATATATTTGTGAATTATCGCTTTGTTCCATGAAGTGATTTCAATAATAATAATAAAAATAAAATGCAGCATCTTTGAAAAAGTAAGGTAAAAAATAGGAAGCTTTAAAGTTCTTAAACTCCACGCTGTTCTAATAGTCACTATTATTGAGGAGGTCACTGTTTGGTTTAGATGCATTAACCACAAATCTATATCTCTTTTTAAGTTTAAAGCACCAAGATACAGTAGCTATGAACACTATACCAACCAGTTTCATTGCTGACCTTTCCTTCAGAGCATGGAACACAATAAAAACAGCACAAAGGTTCTCCTTTCTTCCTGACCATATGTGTTCCTGGATGGCAGCTCTCACTGCACACTGACTTTGGAGGCTACAAAAAGGGAAACAGCATGTATTTCATTTCATGCAATGAGAATAAAGCATTTTATATTCAATTAAAGTAAAAATGGGGCACCTTTTTGGATTCAAAGTTCCAGAAGATTTTGTCCTCATAAATTTTAAGTTCTTCTTCTTGGGATGAAGACCGCTTGATCTCACCCACATTCTGAACTTTAATGTTTCCATCGGGCTGCCGAATCCAGTTCATGATGTCATATATTGGTAACACATCACCATTTTCATCAAACGTAACTTGGTCACCAAACTGTGTGGTGAAGGTCACCTTTTCAAGGTAGTACATTACCTATAAACAGGGAAAATTTAACAAACACATTTATATCTTGTAAAATGCATTTTTTTCGCATAAGGACTGCTTATTCAGATATCCAGGGAAATATAACTTGATAATTAGTTTAATGTACAATGCACATAAACCTATTAAATAGATAATCAGCCATTCTTCTTTAAAATCGAATTATCACCACACCACAAACGAGACAGAGTGAATATTTTTAGTTATTTAAAAAAAATAATAACAATTTACATATTTTATCATGTTTGCAAAAATGTTACCTTAGGAGCAACTAATAATTCTTATATTTTCAATAGGAGGATGAGGATTTGTAGTCATAGAATATTTACGAACACATCACAAGCTAGCATTTTGAAAAGTAATGGAAATTCAAGTTGCCCCATTGCAGGTATAACACCCATATCTGACATCAACAGTTTTTGATTATGGTTCATCAGCATTTTTTTGTGCTTGTGGTTCTAGTCTTTGTGGTTGTGGTTCTTGTATTTATGTCGAATCTTTAAGGTATACATACTGTAATTATACATTTGGAGACATTTTAACCTGATTGCATACCTGTGAGAGCTCTAATGTGTGTAAAGATGCACAGTTCCCATTAAATGGTGCTTGCTCTGGAACGCAGCTCAGCATGTCATTAAGTGCATGTGCGAGTGCATAGACAGCTTTGTAGATATTATACTCAGGCCGGAGTTCTGACACATCCAGCAGGTCAGTCTCCACACTGTTTAACTCTTCTTTTCCAGTGCATATTCTTCCGCCATCCTCTACCCAACCTGCTGGAGGTGGGGAAAACTTGCATTGAAATGTGTGCTCCCAAAAAAGTTTCACCTGAAACATATGTATGGAGATAAAACATTACACACCTACATGAATATATAGAGCATACTTTTTATGCAGATGGTCCCGGCCTTACACAGTTGAACTCTTACCATGTTATTTTCAGAATAGTTGTTGTTGTATTGCTTAGGATGAATCCTCAACAGAAAATCTCGAAGTCCTGGTATTTCTCCTCGACGGATAGCGATGCCAAGTGTTCCACCAAGAAATGGTGAGAAAGCAGATATTTGGAGTCCTTCAAGCAATGTCAAAGCCTCACTGGCAATCCACTGAAGGCCTGTCACATTCTGTTTTACCACCTAAATATCACACACAATTCTTTTTATTAACCTTAAAAAAAATTACTGTCAACCTGTGTAACTGGCATATTTTTTAATCGTTATTAGAAATGTTAACTAACATAACTTAACATGCAGAAAATCATATTTAATATGAGAGGTGCATATTAAAAAAAGTATTAGATTTTATTCCCACAATAATAAAAACATTTTTCAAGCCAAACCAAAGCAGATATTGTACTTATTAAGCGAGTTAATTATTTGCATCTTGTTTATAAAACTTAGGATATTAAAACTGAATATACATTTCCCAGAATCAAATGAAAATCTTACAATTTTGGTTTGTTAAAATGTGTTTTCTGATTTGGGCCTATACAATACAACTTTTTTCTCTAACCTGTTCCATGAGTTGGATCATGTGCATCTGATGTGCAAACACAATTACTACGCGTGCTGTAGATTTTGTCATCACATCAACAATCCTTTTATATTCAGTCGGATTGTCTCCCCAGGGTAAAATCTCAGTGTATGCCAAACAGCCTCCACCTGATCGAGTCAGGTCCGATTGGAATGATCTGGAAACATGCAGGCCATAATCATCATCGCTGACCAGGAGACCGGCCCAAGTCCAGCCAAAATATTTCAGAATCTGAATCATGGCGCGAACCTATTGAGGATGGAGTCAAAATATATATACTGACTTATTTTAAAGCCTTACAGAAATACATACAGTTTAAACATGTATATGGTGCTTAGCAAAGTGGAACTTTTAATGGCTCACCTGAAATGCATCGCTTGGGATTGTTCTAAAGAAAGATGGAAAACGCTGCCGATCACTCAGACAAGAACATGTGGCAAAATAACTTACCTAAAATAAAATAAATAACATTTTACATACTCAGTCAAACCACCTTTTTTTCTTGCAACTGATTGACTATAAAATGCAATTTTAAAATATAAACTTACCATAGGCAGTTTGTACAAACCTAAAACATTTGAGGCAGCAATAGAAAAAGTGGAAAAAGGATCACCAACGATTCCCACAACTGGAGGGGTTCCTGAACAGTTCCGCTGAATCACAAACTGCTCCTCCTGGCCACTAGCCATTGACAAAGCAGCACTGAACCCAATGCTAAGAGTGGCACAGTTGTCATAAAGACTGTATCCTAGAGTCACATTAGGCAACAAACTGGAGTTGTTATTAATCTCATCAACAGCGAAGGCCATAGTCATAGCATGTCTGAACCCTAGAATGTCAAAGCTAACAAAAAAAAAGTCTGGCTTTATTACTCATTTTATATTTACAGTAATGTAAGTATGTTGTCCACTAGTATTGGGATACTTACCCTTGGCAGCTGGGTTGTTGTGGTACTGAGATGAATGTTTGTTCAGAGAAGGAAGAGCTGTAGTGGACTTCAAAAAGTCCTCCCAGGATTACATCACCAGGTTTGTGCAAGCCGTTAAGATAAAACTTTCTCAGTAACTTACACGATGAAGACAGAAATGAAGACTCAGAAAAGAAAAAGGAGGAATAAATCAGGAATTGATAGACATTCATAAGCAAATATTTGATAAACAAAGCCCCCATACCTGCCCTTCCACCAACCTGACTGTCACTCTTGGAACTGATATATATACGGGGCTACGACAGCCTGCTTTAGTTTCTCACACCACCCATCTGGGTGTAATAGTGGCCTCATGGGTGAACTATGGGCATAATGCTGTCTTATTCATGATTTATTCAAGAGAATAACAAACCAGGAAACTAGTGTTTGTTGTGTTACTCGCTATCCAAGTATAACAATTATTGGATTTAAATATTTAAATACTATTTTTTTTTTTTTCTGAAGAACTTAGCTTAACGCTATATTTTTTTAATCGACTAAATCAAATTAAAACCACATCATAACTGGCTGGCATTTCAAAATGTATGCTTTACATGCTTGATATTTCATATGTAACATAATCAACAGCCCAATTGAAATAGTTTTTTATTGATTTATTTACAACTTACCAAAAATAGATTCTGCATGATAGTTGTGTGTCACCAGATTACTGATGCCATTCTTTGTTGCTATTAGGAAAAATAATTCACAATTTATTTTTTATCGTTTTTTGCAGAGTCAGTGAAGAAAGGGAAATCATGCCTTACTAAAGAATAGCTGCGAATTACTGTAAAATGTACCAAAAATGTATCATTATGCATTAAATTAGTATTCCCCCATCAGATATAAATTTTTAAGTAAAACATCACAACTTCTGGGGATCAAGTCGGGATGTTTGTAATATTTTCATGGATCTACATTGTGTAATTTAATCATTGATTAAAGTTGTCATATAGTCCTCTGCGTCAAAGAAAGAAGTTGCAATTTAACACTTTGGAGTTCCACGGCCCATGATAGCTTTCTTTGTGTTTCTTTCAGGTTTCAGCAAGATTATGTAACATTTCGGTCCAAAGAGTGCCATCAAAAGACCAAAGCTGGAGGTTAATATGGCAAACACCTCCACTGCGTCAGCATATTTGCCAGGAGAGTTAATGTAGGCAGGTACAAAGGCCGTCCACACAGCACAGAAGATCAGCATGCTGAAAGTGATTAGTTTAGCCTCATTAAAATGATCTGGCAGGTTTCTCGCCAGAAATGCCAACAGGAAGCTGATAATTGCCAGTAAGCCGATATATCCCAATAATACTGCAAAACCAATTGTGGAGCCAACCACACACTCATAAATGATTTTGTCATTGTGGTACTGGGTGTTTTTATGAGGTACTGGTGAAGCTGTCCCAATCCACACAGTGCAAATTGTGGCTTGGATGCAAGTAAGAACAAAAACTGTCCCTCTTTGTTGTACAGCACCAAACCACTTTAGATGCATGCCACCACCTGGTTTGGAGGCTTTAAACACAGCCAGAACCACCATGGTTTTAACCAGAATGCAGGATACACAAAGCACAAAGCTGATCCCAAATGCTGCATGTCTCAGCTGACATGTCCACAGTCTGGGTCGTCCAATGAACAGCAGCGAGCACAAAAAGCACAATTTAAGTGACACTAAGATTAGAAAGCTCAGCTCTGAATTGTTTGCTCGCACCATAGGTGTGCTCCGGTGATATGTGAAAATCCCTAAAACAACAGTACAGATGGAAGTTCCCAGCAAAGAAGCTGTTGTCAAGCAGACTCCCAGAGGTTCATGGTAGGAGAGAAACTCTGTTCTCTTAAGTATGCATTGATTACGCTTTGGGCTGGACCAGAAATCCTCTGGACAACTAAAGCACTCAACAGAGTCTGAGAACAAGACAAACAAACATAGACTTTACAGTTAGTCATAATTTAAGAAGCCACATTGATTCATCAACATAACAGCTTCATTTTTGTAAAGGTTACTATGTAACGTATGAAGAGAAAATGGATTATGGATTAAAAAGAGCCTAAGGAAAATATGATATTTGGATAAAGTACGACACTGAATACAAATGTAAATTAAACTTGGCATCCAAATGATGCCCATCAGTTTTTCTTGAACGAAGTGAATATCTACAGGTGTATTCACTGTTAAAGTGGTATTCTTTTGTATTTTTTTTTATAATCCAATTTGTCCTATCTATCTAAATGAATCATTTTTATTATCAGTAATCAAGATTAAAAATATTAAATAAGAGTACAATGCAATACTGGCTTTTTGTAATTTTGTTTTGCAAATGAAGCTTTAATTCTAGAGCCAGTAAATTATTAAATTTATGTTTCCTTCTACACCAATCAGTGACGTCTTGTTATGTCTTGTCAGTTTTCTCTCTATTTTCTATTCAGATTTATGTATTTCAGTTGGAACATTCATACATATAATTGTAATTGAAACCATAATACCAACTTGTTTCGTTGCTAATCTTTCCTTCAGGACAAGGAACACAATCAAAACAGCACACAGGTTGCCCCTTCTTTCTTGCCATGCGACTCCCAGGATTACAGTTCTTGCTGCACACAGACCGAGGTGGCTGAAGACACAGTTAACATTTGATCTGATCTCTTTTATTCCCAACATTGCTTACATATAATGATAACTTTAAATGAAAAAGGAAAGTAACCTGATTGTTCTCAAAATTCCAGAAGATTTTGTCCTCATTAAGAGTGAGTTCTTCACCACCAAAAGCTGTTTTCCTCACAACGCCTACATTCAGAACTTGAATTTTACCATCAGGGAGCCATTGCCAGTTCATGATATCATATATTGGCAAAGCATCACCATTCTCATCAAATGACACTTGATCACCAAATGGAATGGTAAAGTTGACTTTTTTCAAGTAATACATTAGCTGCAAATGTAAGATCAATTATATGACAACGATGCAAGATTTTATTTTCATTTCTTATTGTTATTGTTCACCAGTTGAGAAATGGTATACAAACCAGAAACTAATAATACAAATGTAAGCTATCCAATATAAGCAGGCATGCATGATATTCAGTTTTGTATTAACCTAAATACAATGAGGTAATACAAGTTAGTTTTTAAGTGAATTGAAATTGATATCCCACCTGCCAAGCCTCCAGACTGTGCAGAGATGCACAGCTGTGTCTGATAAAAGGCCCTTTTCCTGGCTGACACTGCAGCATGTCATCAAGAGCGTATGCCAGCGCATACACAGCCTTGTAAATGTTATATTCAGGCCGGAGGTTAGAAACATCAAGAAATTCAGTCTGCACAGTCTCTAAATCTTCTTTACCAGAGCATAATGCCCCTCCAGCCTCTAGCCAGTCAACAGGTGGGGGAGCAAATCTACACTGAAAAGTGTGTTCCCAGAACTGCCTTATCTGGAAAGTATGGGGGAAAAAAACACCTGAACCAAGAAAACATAGTTTGATTATGCAATTATAAGTCAAAGTTAATGCAAAATCTCACCATAGTGTTTTCACTGTTGGTGTTATTCCCAGGTTTTGTTTTTAGAAGAAAATCCCTAAGTCCTCGGATTTCTCCTCGACGGATTGCAATGCCCAGCGTTCCACTCAGGTATGGCATAAGACGAGATGTTTGGAGCACAGCTGCTGATGCCCATGCTTCACTCGCCATCCATTGCAAACCTGTCACATTTTGCCTTAAAACCTGTAGAGTGTTACATATAGTAAAAAAAGAGTTATATGGAGCATTTAGCTTCAAGCAGAATGCTAAATGATATACTGAGAAAGAAAGATACCTCCTCCATCAGTTGAATCATATTGATCTGATGTGCGAATACAATGACAACTCGAGCTGTGGATTTTTTCATTCCTTCCACAATTCGTGTTAGTTCAGCTGGATTTTCACCCCATGGTAAAATTTCATAGTATGCAAGACATCCTAATCCAGACTCAGTCAGCTTTGACTGAAAGGACTGGGCAACATGAAGCCCGTAATCATCATCACTAACCAGTAGACCAGCCCATGTCCAGCCAAAGCGTTTTAAAATCTGAATCATTGCATCCACCTAAGTGGACATACTGCGTGAGATATTTTCTTTTCATTTTAAATCATTACAATTGCATTATACTGAATAGAAATATTCTACAGAACCTATGCTTTAAAACAGTGGTCTCCAACCCTGGTCCTCAAGATCTACTGTCCTACAGATTTTAGATGCATCCCTGCTTCAACACAGCTGCATCAAATGGTTGATTACCTTTTCAAGCCATTCATTTAATCAAGCTCTGTTGAAGCAGGGATGCATCTAAAATCTGTAGGACAGTAGATCTTGAGGACCAGGGTTGGAGATCACTGCTGTAAAAAGTAATGTAATTTGGCCTATGTTGTACCTCATTTATTAAAAAAACAAAACAAAATCTGTCTCACTTGAAAAGTATCACTTGGGATTGTCCTAAAAAAGGATGGAAACCTTCGACGATCACTTAGGCAAGAACATGTAGCAAAGTAACTCACCTAAAAGGAACAAACAGGTAAAATGTGGTTAAAATGACCTCAAAGATATCACTGAATAATCTGTACATTAGGAGAGCAAAATAACAAACAAAAGCAAAAAATAACTTACAATGGGCAATCTGAATAAACCAATGACATCAGATGTGGCAATTGAAAACGTTGAAAAAGAATCACCGACGATCCCCAGGACTGGAGGGCCCCCTGAGCATTTTTCCTGAGGAAAAAACTGTTTCTCCTGACCACTGGCCAATGACAATGCAGCACTAAATCCGATTACTAATGTGGCACAATTATCATAAAGGCTATATCCCAGAGTCACATTTGGAAGCAGATTTGGGTCTTTGTTAATTTCCTCAATGGCAAATGCCATGGTCATGGCATGCCTGAACCCTGGAGAGTCAAAGCTTAAACACAAAATGTTACATTTTAATTTAAAAAAGTACCACAACCTGTGAACAAGTTATACGAGTGTGAAACTTACCCTTGACAGATGTGCTCACTTGGTTCTGAGGTGAATGTTAGCTCAGGAAACACAGAAGTGTAGTGTACTTCAAACAGTCCCCCTAGAATCACATCACCGGCTTTATGCATGCCATTAAGATGAAACTCTCTTCTTATTTTGCAAGATGACATTGAAACAATAAAGGGGAAGAAACTAATTAATAGAAAAAACAAGGACATAAATTTGTGAAGAAACACATCCATAATTACATCTCCTCATACCACCGTTTCTTTCTTCCCTGAATGGACATTTTATAGGGATTGTCCTCTCCCTTGATGGCTTTCATCACTATAGGAGGGCCAGAGGAGATCTTCAGAGAATAGCTGAATCTTCACTAATTTCAGATTTCTGAGAACTTAGAACTCTTTCTTTCCTTGACAGCACATCTTTGCAACAACAGAGTAAGAACAACAGCTTTATAAAGATAGTAAAATGAAAAAAACTGAAAGAAAATCCACAATTTGTTTGGATTTTTGGTTCCTTTTGTGTTTATGTTTTTAGAATGTCCTTGTTGATTATACAGTATATGATCTTGACATATTTTAGAAGATACCTGTATCATATTTTGGGAATATTTTCTCCTTTTGAGTATCCGCCCCCAATTGTAACTACCTAATCAGTCCTGATGAGTTACGCTTTGTTTTGACTGAGGATGTGTATATATGGGGGAAGAATGGGCTAATCAGTTGATAGGAAACAGGTGTGGATGGAAGCAACTAGAAGGCAGCTAGGGTGAAGGGAACTGGCACTAGGGGGCAACAGAGAGTAACTCCAAAAATATAACGCTGCTTAAATATAATGGAATAATAGTAGTCTCTACTCTTGTAAAGACTAATGGGAATCCTACAATAAAAAATAACAAAAAAAGAAAACAACTAAAATGACACAAAGTGGAAATGAAACCCAAAAACAAAGACTTTCACCAATCAAAGGGTAACTGAAAAACATCTTTCAAGTCCAGTCCCAGGATTACATATATAAATATCCATTGACATCTTATGGTTTGGTCCATTATTGTCACTCTTGAAAAACAAGAAATGGCACTTAAATTATTTGCAAAAACTGTGTTCTTTTATCAAAAGTGAGAATATAAAATGCTGCAAACTCTGTGCCGCCAACATTCTGTATAGAAATAGGAAACAAGGAACCTCGCTGCGTCAAATACAAACCAACCTTTCACAGTTTGCATGCTGTACCATGTTTTAAAGCTTTGCAGGCTGTTTAAATAAATCAGTTTAGGTTTTATGAATCAAAGTACTTTCAAAACAAAAGTGATCAGTCTGGCGGGAATGTTCCTTTTTAAACTCCCTACATTAGTAACCATCCATTAAATATTACAATATTTTGTACATTTTTTGATAAATCATAGAGATAAAAGTGTGTAAAAAAAATCACAATTATTAGCAGCTTCCGAAATACTCAAACCGAGATATATGATCAGCAACCAGGCTACATCAACTTATTTCACTTATAACCCTTTTTTTTTTTGACTCTTTAATGTTTAATGTTTATTTAAATTACCCCAGGTTTTCTTGAATATTTACAGATTCCTAAATGAAGAGTTGGCTAATTTGCGATGGACTAATTTGCTATTTGTTGCAGTAGCTGCATGTCTCCTTACATGTGTAGTTTCTATATGGATACTCCTGCTTCCTTCCAGTAAAGTACAGCAAAATATAGCAATAGCAAGAATAATTCATATTGGAAATATTTATGACATTTTAACTTTGTTTCCATGGACATTATCTTCTGAAAAAAATATTTACTTAAATTTCTGAAATATATTTCATATCCACTAGATGGTAGCATTACTCTTATACTTTTCACTTCTGCCTGCTTACTTGACAGACTGGAATCATATAGCATCTTACATCATTTAATATTTAGCTGGGTAAAGATTCAGTCAAAAATAACTTTTTTGAACGTATGAAACCAAAGTTGACAAAGCATATATATAGTGCAAGTTTGAAGAGTATCTTGTTCTTTTATGATTTCATGCAATTTGGTTAAATGTAATCTGTCTGTTTTCTTTCAACTCTGTATTGGGAACTAACCTGTAGATTCCATTTTCTTGCTTATATGTCATGTTTAAATTCCTGGTTTGAAAAAGTTTTACACAATTCAATATAAATAATTAAGAAAAATGCATAATGACAGTCTTACTGCATTGTGAAACTCTTCATTTAAAGTAAGTAATGTGTATTTATATCAAACCAAGTATGATTACAAGTAGGCTACTTCAACTTCAGTATTTGCCGATACCAAGTACAGACATGCGTACTATTAAGTGCCATTAACACGACCGGATAATAGCATACCTTTCTCTTTAACAGAAAGCATTACTTTGCGATCAGATACTTGAAGAAGAAGACAAAGCAGTGAAGAAGAGCGCAGTGTGACGTCAAGAACCCGCCAGCCAGAGCATAGAAATGGGGGAGTAAACACAAAAAGGGTGGAGTTAGCCATGTCCGCTATTTGGAAGTATTTTCAAGTAAACAAGGAAAACAAAAGTAAGGCTAGTTGCAAAATATGTAAATCAAAGTTATCAAGAGGCAGAACAAACCCTAGCAGTTACAACACAAGTAACCTGATAAGAAATCTTAAGACACAACACAACGCCGCACGCAAGGAGTTCTCTCAAGGCGGTGGGAAACTACAACAACCAACTTTGCTGCAAATGCTGAAGAAGCAGCAGAAGATGTCCAGAGACAATCCACATGCAATGCAGATAACAGAAGCTCTTACCCAATACATTGCCCTCGATAATCAGCTATTATCCATCGTTGAAAATATTGGATTCAGACATCTTCTTAGTGTGCTGGAGCCGAGGTATGAAATTCCTGTTCACCAATACATCACTGACCAGGAGCTGCCGAAACTATACGACTTTGTGAAGAGACACATCCAAAGCCTTTTGCAAGACATTTCAGCGATTAGCTTGACAACTGATATCTGGACGAGCAGTGTTAGCCCGGTGTCACTCATTAGCCTAACTGCGCAATGGGTTGACAAAGATTTTACCCTGCAGAGGGCTGTCGTGTATACAATACATTTTCGGGGATCACACACTAGCCAAGCCACACACACACACACACACACACACATCCACACACACATCGCAGATGTGTTTGATGAGATGCTCCGGAAGTGGGGAGTTCCCAAAACTTTGATTCATGTTGTGCTACATGATAATGCTAAAAACATGATAAAAGCCATGAGGGATGCCGGACTTCAGAGCCTTCAATGTTTAATGAGCCAAATGAATATAAAAAATTGCAAATTAATTCTGAGGACTTAATGGCACTTAATAGTACGCATGTCTGTACTTGGTATCGGCAAATACTGAAGTTGAAGTAGCCTACTTGTAATCATACTTGGTTTGATATAAATACACATTACTTACTTTAAATGAAGAGTTTCACAATGCAGTAAGACTGTCATTATGCATTTTTCTTAATTATTTATATTGAATTGTGTAAAACTTTTTCAAACCAGGAATTTAAACATGACATATAAGCAAGAAAATGGAATCTACAGGTTAGCTCCCAATACAGAGTTGAAAGAAAACAGACAGATTACATTTAACCAAATTGCATGAAATCATAAAAGAATTTATAATTGCTAAAAAAAGGACATATATTATAAAGACAAATCAAAGACCACTTAGGTATTGCCCCTTCTCTCTGAACTTTGATGATACTTCAGAGGTGAGCTATGGTAAATGGGAAATGGCCCTTACTTATATACCACATTTTCAAGTCAGGACTTAACAAAGTTCTTTGCAGTACATTCAGTCATTCACACATTCACGCACACACTCACACACAGAGCTATAAAAACATTCCGCATACACTTGCACTTGATTCATTTTTCAGCGATGAAGATCTTGTTGCTGCTTGCAAGCTTTAAATTGGCTCTGAGCCTGTATGAGGGGGGATCAGAGGAGGTCAGAATTGTGGCTTCACCTATGAAATGTAGCCTGCGGGGTTCAGATCATCTACCTGCATTCGCAATGAATGGGGACTTCATCATCGGGGGTGTTTTTTCAATCCACTACAAGGAGCTCACAGAAACAGACAACTACACCACTGTGCCTGAACCACCGAGCTGCGCAAGGGGGTTAGTAAAAGGGAGAGCTTGAAAAAAAGAAAAATGGGAAGGCAATTTTGAAATAAGTGACGACCAATATGTTTGGTATTATGCTAGTTTTTGTTGCAAAGTTCTTAGCATTTCATCAATACGGCATGCATAAATATTTATGTATAACAAAAAATATTTATTATTTATAAGTATTATTCCAACAAAGTTGTTTTTTTTAACTTATGTTTTGTGGTAAATATGCAGATAAACTCTTTTTTATATTTTACATAGAAATGTTTGTTATCCTAATTAGAAGAAAGTAATGACTCTATGTTGTATTCAACAGTGACATGTTGTAAATTTTATGTTTTTTTTAATGCCTTTTGTTCAGCATAAACAGTCGTGAACTGCGCTTCTCTCGAACAATGATCTTTGCAATTAAGGAGATCAACAACAGCACAGAGCTGCTGCCAGGTGTCAAACTTGGTTATCAGATCTATGATTCATGTGCCTCTGTGCCCATGGCCATGCATGCAGCATTTCAGCTGTCCAACAGGCAGGACCCTGCGTTTCAGACAGGTGATAATTGCTCTTCATCTGGAATGATAGTTGCTGTTGTTGGGGAGTCCGGTTCCACCCCATCCATTAGCATCTCACACATTTTTGGGCCCTTCAACATACCTCTTGTAAGTAGTTATTATAAAATGTTATTACTTTAGCTTGAAAGCTTAACCTGATAAATTGTTTGTGTTCTTGCTATAGGTAAGCCACTTTGCCACTTGTGCCTGTCTGTCAGATAAAGACCAGCATCCAACATTTTTCAGAACAATTCCCAGTGATCAATTTCAAGCCGATGCACTGGCGAAGCTAGTGAAACAATTTGGTTGGAGTTGGATAGGAGCTATTCACTCAGATTCAGATTATGGTAATAATGGAATGGCGTCTTTTCTAAGTGTAGCACTCAGAGAGGGGATCTGTGTGGAGTACATTGAATCTTTCTATCGGACGGACACAACCAGCAAGATTCGCAGAGTAGCTAATGCCATCCGCAGGTCTCTGTAATTATATGAAAGTTAAATTTTATCTGATGATTGATTTTGTTGAAAAAAAAATACAGAAGAGCAGAATGTGATGACTATTGTACTGCTCTGTACTCTCCTCAGGTCAACAGCAGTGGTTGTAGTAGCATTTGCAGCTGCTGGTGATATGAAGTTCCTCTTGGAGGAGCTGGCGCAGGACCCTCCGCCGCCTCGTCAGTGGATTGGAAGTGAATCCTGGATTACTGACCCTCACCTTATGAGCTTTAGTTTTTGTGCAGGGGCCATTGGAGTTGCCATTCAACAATCTGTCATCCCAGGTCTTAGAGACTTCCTTATAGATCTCTCTCCTTCTGAAGTGCCTGTCTCCTCAGTACTTACTGAATTCTGGGAGGATGCATTTAACTGCAGCTTTACAAAAAGTGAGGAAATGTCATCTATACATTGGTGCTCAGCGATATCTGAACTAAAACATTTTGATGAATGTTTTTGGACTGTTTTATGAGTATCTTAGTAGATCATCCAGTAGTCTGTTTGACATTGGGTTTTTTTGAATGTATATTTTAAAAAACCCTAAACAAAAAAAATATATTTTTCTATTATTTCTTTTTTTATCGTTACATTTACCATCTCTGATATTAGTTTTGATGTTGTATATAAAATATTTTCTGCTGTTTACAACCCAAAGAAATTACTTTGTTAGTTTAGAGTTAATTCTATTAAACAATTTGTTTTTTAAAAGTTCCCTAATTATAACTTCTTATGTCTGCATTTTTAGGTACAACCATAAAGGGTAAACTTTGTGATGGAACTGAAGACTTAAAGACACTAAATAATCTCTATACTGAAACTTCTAAATTTAGAATTACTAACATGGTGTACAAGGCTGTCTATGCAATAGCACATGCTATTCACAATGCATTGTGTCAGGAAAAAGAGTCAACCACTCGTTGTGACAAACACATCACACTGGAGCCCAAACAGGTCTGTTTAAATAAATCTTCATTTATTTATTATTTATTTTTGAAATACTTCTTATAAAGTATTTCATTTTCTCTCTGTTTCTGTCCTAAAAATCAAAGATTTTCACCGAATTAAGGAAGGTGAACTTTTCTAGAAATGGTTATCATGTATCTTTTGATGATAAAGGAGATCCTCCAGCTTTTTATGAGCTGGTGAACTGGCAGAACAAAAAGAATGGAGCTATTGAGCTCATAACAGTGGGGTATTATGACGCATCACTGCCCAAAGGCCAGGAGTTTCTTATCTACAAAAATATAACCTGGGTGGAAGGGAGCATACAAGTAATGACTCAAAGGAAAACAGTATACAAAATAAACACTTCTGAAATTATGCGATTCAATGATTTGGGCCACATCCTCATTCTGAAATATGTTATTCTGTTTACTCTTTTGTTCTTTTTTTTCTTGAATGCCTTTCTGGCAGGCACCAGTATCAGTTTGCTCTGAGAGTTGTCGTCCAGGAACTCGTAAAGTGTTACATAAAGGAAAACCCATCTGCTGCTATGATTGTATACCTTGTCCAGAAGGAGAGATTAGCAATATGACAGGTAAAATCTTTTATGTTAATTAACATCACAATCCTTCTTGTTACTGACAACTCCTTTTGTTTTAGATGCTCCGGATTGTATCCCTTGTCCCAGAGAATTCTGGCCCAACTCAGTGAACACTGAGTGTTTTCCAAAACCTGAGGAGTTTCTTTCCTTTGATGAAATTCTGGGAATAATCTTGGCTGCGTTTTCAGTTAGTGGGGCCTGCATGGCCATCATAACAGCAGTAGTTTTCTTTTATCACAGGACAACTCCAATTGTCAGAGCTAACAACTCTGAACTGAGCTTCCTACTGCTCATGTCTGTGACTCTGTGTTTTTTATGTTCATTAACATTCATTGGAGCACCTTCTGAGTGGTCCTGCATGCTGCGGCACACAGCGTTTGGCATCACCTTTGTTCTCTGTATTTCCTGTGTTCTTGGAAAAACTATAGTTGTTTTAATGGCTTTTAAAGCAACACTTCCAGGCAACAATGTTATGAAATGGTTTGGTCTTCCGCAACAAAGATTGACAGTAGCGTCATTTACATTTATTCAGGTAATAATATGTATTGTTTGGTTGGTTGTAAGTCCTCCCTTCCCAATGAAAAATCTGAACACCTACAAGGAGAAGATCATCCTGGAATGTGCATTAGGCTCTGCTGTTGGTTTCTGGGCTGTCCTTGGCTACATCGGTCTACTTGCTGTGGTTTGCTTTGTTTTAGCTGCTCTAGCTCGGAAACTACCTGATAATTTCAATGAAGCAAAGCTGATCACCTTCAGCATGTTGATATTCTGTGCTGTCTGGATCACCTTCATCCCAGCATATGTCAGCTCTCCTGGAAAATATACAGTGGCTGTGGAGATATTTGCCATTTTGGCCTCCAGCTTTGGAATGATGCTGTGTATATTTGCTCCGAAGTGTTTCATCATTTTATTTCAACCAGAAAAAAACACCAAGAAATATTTAATGAACAAAAACTGATTTGACATAACACCATTTCTTATCATAATAAATGATTATGAATGTCAATTTTTTTTCAAGCTAATCACTGTTTTCCTACAGGTTTTTTACTCTCTTTGATTATTTTCAATTGCCAAATATTAATGCATGCTTTATCTCTTTATGTTTTTTTATTTATTTGTAACTTATTATGCTACTAGATGGATATGTCTATTAAAAGAAATAAAGTTTAAAACTACATATGTGTTCACAAATTTTTTTTCAACATCAAAATTTTTTTAATTTGATTATAAATCAAAACAACAATATATAAATAACCCTTCATAGGCATGAAATTCATAATTCTCTGTTTATATAAATACCACATAACCACACACACACACACCCACACACACACACACCTTAGCCCTAAACATAACCAGTAGCAAAATAGCATTGAGGACCGGCAAAATATCCTCACTTTGCAATAACAGGTCCTTAACTTGAGGGTGATTTTTTTTATTGGAAAAATTTAGAAATAGCTACCTAAGTGTAAACCTAGCCTGAACTAAATTTACACCTTAGTTCTAAACTTAACTCTGAACCTAAGAAGATAACGCTTCCTCAGTAGTACCTTTAGACTGGTTGACAATTTCCATATTGTCTTGTTATAGGAAGTGTTTACTCCAACTGAATTCCATTGATTTTCAGTCAATTTCAACTTTATCCCCTAATCCTGACATTAATCCTGACCATAACCCTAAAATAACAATTACCATTACTTAAACTCTATTCACACCTTAACCATAAACCCAATCGCTGGCAAATAAGGAAGTAAAGACCAGCTAAAGAAAATAAAATAAAAACAAATAAACCTTAAAATTACTATTGTCTTCATGCTCTAGGTTCTTGGCAAACATAGATAATAAGAAGTGTATTTTATTATAAACATTTTTTTTTTTTTTTTCAATTTTTAAAACCAAGTGTTGGACCAAGCCAAACCTTGTACTCAACAACAGACTGAAAAAGTTTTGTTTTATGCAGTTAACTTCAATTTTATTGGTCAATTTTTAATACAACTCAAAACAATGTGTAAAAGCAATTATTTTTTTCTTTCAGTTCCTGGGAGGTGATGAAACACTTTCTTTGCTTTCTACCCAAAGAAATGCCTATATTGTATTTTCATAATTTTACTGCAGATGGATTTTATTGCAGAATACTGATCCACATGAGAAGATCCAAATGAGAAGGGACATTCTTTGTTTTGAGTGTAACCAGAGACGATGGCAATATTTTTCAGATGTCATTTAGGCTAGTTGCTCAGGAAAATAACAACTTGATTAACTATACTCAAATGTATATGTATAATATCGAACAACTGAGTGTTAATTTTGTAACAGACTGTCTTAAATCCTGCTGTTTGGTTTTATAATCCCTGCCATTGTGCAGTATTTTTATTATTTGCGTTGCAAATCATTTGATAATATGGTTCATTTAGATACTGTACAGTGTTACAAGTAGTGAGTGCAGAGATGGAGCCAAGAGTCAAGGCTGAAGATGCTTAGATACTTTGTAGAGCGCGCGTCGTCAGAGCTGAGCGTGCAGCAGACAAGTTTTGAGCTAGTGTCTGTCTGAGTTTAATTGCTGCACATATAGGCCCATCCCCAAACCGACTCCATAAACACTAACCCTCAGCACTAAGCATTTCTTGGAATTCATGTGGTTTTTCAGATATTTTACTCAATTGTGTTGAATATTCATTCACTGCTTCATCAAAATATACTTTTTTTGCTTTCTTTGAATAATGGGATTAAGTGGGTTGGGCATCAAACAAGTTAGATGATCTAACAGATAGATGATCGACATTTTACAGTACTAGTGGTATTATCAGATGAGCTGAGACTTCGAGATGTGTCGCTGTAAATGCCAATGGAGAGGATGTTTCCCTGATTTGCATGGTGAGGGATGATTCATTTAGGGGAGGGGCCAAAATAATTGACGTCCGAAGCATTTCTATCGTGATACCACGTGACCACTTCAGGAAGTGATTCAGACTACGCAAGAACTTTGACAGGAATTTAAACAGCCTCATTCCTCAGTAAAGATGTGGGAGTTTGTAGGAGAGTGGCTGTCAGTTGGATAGAGTTTGGATATATTCAAAGAATAGACTGGTTGGAAAAACAGCCAATATAGTTGGTCAAAACTATTTTGGTTAGATTAAACAACGTAATGATCGAAATCTGAGCAAGCCACTGGTTACAGCTTTAACATTAGTGTTAGGTGGTATTGCTTTCTACTAAGCATTTACCATTGATAGTGGCGTCAGCTGTAAGCCATTGACTTCCACTCCTGACGTTGTTATTTTGACACCCACTTTAGATCTTGAAAGTTGCGATAATACTTGACAAATATTTTGGTTATTATGACTACTTTGTATTGGTTTGCCCAAGTACAAATATAGATTGGGTAAAAACATTGTCAAATTAGTGTCTACGAAGTATATGAGAAGAAGAGAAAGGCCTCAGAAAAATTAGCATCCCACTGATGCCTCGGTTGCAAAGTTTCTACTCAACAGGTAAAGTTTGTCATGCTGTTTGGAGAAATCCATTTCACATCAATGCTAGTAAAAGTTACCTACCGTATTTTCACGACTATAAGGCGCACTTAAACGTCTTTTTTTTCCCTCAAAATGTGCGGTGCGCCCTATGGTGCGGTGCGCCTTATGTGTGTTGTAACTGCGACTTTTGAGACCACCTCATTGAGGAGATGATGAAANTATATAAAAAACGCGCCCTATAGTCCGGTGCGCCTTATGTGTGTGTTAAATACAGAAATGTGACACATAACTGAGAGTGCGCCTTTTAGTACGGTGCGCCTTATGGTCGTGAAAATACGGTACCTCTATATTGTAACTTTCTAGGGAAGATAAGTTCCTTTATTCTGTAATTTGCACCTTTAGTAGTTATACGGTCGCCACAGTAGGGTGACCAGACATGCTCTTTTTCCCGGTCCCACTTTTCATACCTTTAAAAATGTCCGGAGGGAATTTCAAAATCGTCCGGGATCTTGATCGACTACAGTGCAGCAGAACTGAGCTGTCAGTACCGCGGTGAAGTTGGTTTGAAGTTGAATATTGGATATTCAAGCTCCGCGGAGTCAGCGGGATCTAGCAAACGGTTGATCCGACTGAGGCACTCCAATGTCACCCAGCGTCTTTCAGCTGCTCCCTCCTCCCACACGCGGTAATGCAGTTAGGGACCGTCAACAAATCTTTAAACCAAGCACACGTGAGAAACAAAAAACAATAAATTCCTTATCTTATGACCAGCTAAGACCAAACTAATATAAAATCATGCCAATAGATAACATATGTAAGGCACACTTGCTTTCATGCAATTTTAAGCTATTTTCAATTTTTAAGATATTTTTAAAGACAAAAGTTGAGACTTTTCTCCAATAGCTTCCAGTTCATGTGACCTACTGACTCAAATTTTTTATGAAATTGTTGTACTACATTATCTTGATGAGGTACAGTCATTTTTGTTTGATTTTAAGCCTTAGTTAATTGTTAAATATTTTTTCAAATAAAAAAACTTGATATTTCTGCAATAGTTTCCAGGTCATGTGACCCACCGACGCAAATTCTTTGTTAAATTGTTTTACCACAGTACCCCTGATGAAGCACACTCATTTTCATTCCATTTTAAGCCTTTGTATATTTTTAACAATTTTTTGTTACAAAAATGATTGATATTTCTTCAATAGCTTGCAGGTCATTTTACGCACTGACTGCAAATCTATGTTAAATTGTTCTACTACTTTAGCCAGATGGGGCACACTCAGTTTTATTCCATTTCAAGCCTTTGTATATTTTTGCCTTACAGGCAGGCAGGGGGAAGCATACCGTCCCCGGGTCGGGTTCGGTAGCTCTGACCTCAGCTGGCCCCTGACCGGGATCGGCCCCGGAGCTGATGGCTCGGTTCTAATGCCCGGTCCGGTCCCAGCATCTAAAGATATTATTTTGCTCAAAGTAAACAAAGGCAAAATAAGTTACATTTATGAAGAAAACATGAAGCAAAATAATGTGATTTATTTTTAAGTAAAAAAGAAAAATAGAAGAGACTCAACAAACATCAGACCGTAAACAAAACATCATAGACTGTAAAAGCAAATTGGTCCACCAGGTGATGCCATGTCACTGATGTTTGTTGTCACTTTTGAAGAGTTATATAAACCACCAAGAAGACTTGTTCACATTCAGAGACTTAAGGCATGGAGACCTCACTTCTTCTTACTTGCTTGAGACTGGCACAGGGCTTATGTGTTGTCTTAGTTATTGCTTTAGGGGGTTCTTATAGGATCAAAAATATGGCTTTACCTATGAACTGTGTCCTGCAGGGTACATCTCGTCTACCTGCATTCTCAACGGACGGAGAGTACATCATTGGTGGCGTTTTTTCCATCCACTACAAAGAACTTACAAAGATTCATAACTACACCACTGTACCTGAGCCGCCTACCTGCACAGGAAGGTCGGTAAGATAGAGAAGTTGTGGCAATTGGAGGGAGAGTCATACAAAAACTCAGATTTTGACTTGTAATATGAAGAATTTTGCTACAAGGTAGAATTAATGATTTATACAAGGGTATTTTATTAAATATTTGGATGAGATCAAATCTAATTTGACATCAAAAAACAATTATTTTCGTAAATAGGTATTAAAAAAATGGGATTATATAAATACACTTGATAATGTTTTAACATAATTTCAACTTCAGAATTTCTGTGTTTTCTTTTTCAAATGGAATCTTGTTTGTGAAAATGCAAACTCATAAAAAATCTCTGTCTGTATGCAGTATCAACAGTCGTGAACTGCGCTTCTGTCGTGCAATGATCTTTGCTATTGAGGAGATAAACAACAGCACAGAGCTACTGCCTGGGATTAGACTAGGGTATCAGATCCACGACTCGTGTGCTTCTGTGCCTATGTCCATGCATGTGGCCCTCCAGCTATCAAATGGACAGGACCCTGTGTTTCAAACAGGCAATAACTGTTCTAAGTCAGGTTTGGTGATGGGTGTTATTGGTGAGTCTGGATCTACACCATCCATCAGCATCTCACGGATCTTTGGTCCCTTTAACATTCCTCTGGTAAGTTCAATATTATCTGTAAGACATCTGTAGGATAGCTTTAAGAGATAAGATCCATTGTTTTTTTTTTACTCTCATATTAGGTGAGCCACTTTGCCACTTGTGCATGCCTGTCAGATAAACGAGAGTACCCGACTTTCTTTAGAACAATTCCCAGTGACCACTATCAAGCTAATGCAATGGCCAAACTGGTGAAACATTTTGGTTGGTCGTGGATAGGAGCTATCCACTCAGACTCAGATTATGGAAGAAATGGCATGGCGTCTTTTCTTGAAGCAGCGCATAGAGAAGGGATCTGTGTAGAATACATTGAATCGTTCTATCGAACTGATCCATACAAAATACGAATTGTAGCTGATGTTATCCGCAGGTTTGTGGTTTTTTTTTTATTTTTTTTTTACTTTGTTTCGATACTGCTGTGATCAATTCAGAACTGTTTCTGTAATCGTTGGAAAAAGGTTTTTATGCAAACAGAACTGCCGTATGTGAAAGAAAAGTAAAACAGTTTTATCCATTTTTGCATTTCTCTTCAGATCAACATCAGTAGTGGTAGTGGCATTTACAGCTGCTGGTGATATGAAATTCCTGTTAGAGGAGTTAAACCACAATCATCCTCCACCTCGTCAGTGGATTGGAAGCGAGGGCTGGGTAACAGACCGTCAACTGATGAGGTTCAGCTTCTGTGCAGGGGCTATCGGAGTTGCTATTCAACAATCTGTCATTCCTGGCTTTGGAGACTTCCTTCTGAATCTCTCACCGTCTAAAGTAGCTGCCTCCTCAGTGCTGACTGAGTTCTGGGAGGATGTATTCAGCTGCAGTTGGACAAAATGTAAGAACTGGTTGTGATAATTTGCTAGCTTGATTTGGCTTTTCTTTTAAACATTCCCAGTTTGATCAAATCCTTTAGGCAGAAAGCAGTTTCAGATACAACTTATAAAAATAGATATGAGCTTTGGCTGTATTTATGTAAACAGCTAATTTACAATATATTTTAATGTTACTCACATCAGAGTATAATAGATCTATATTTTGCCTAATTTTAAGAAATGTAACTGATGTGATAAATTTTTAGTGTTGTAACATGAATGGATTAAACAATCTGTAATCCTTTGCTTATTTTCAGCAGCCTCCTCAAAAAAGAAGCTATGTCAGGGAACTGAAGACTTAAAGAAAATTAAAGTCCCATATACTGAAATGTCGACATTCAGAATTACTAATATGGTTTACAAGGCTGTTTATGCCATAGCACATGCTATTCACAATGCAGTGTGTTACAAAACCAATTTCACCATTCACTGTAAAAAACAAACAAAGCTAGACTTGATTCAGGTGAGTTTTAATAAAACATAGTCTATTTTTATTTTCCTAGAATCAGTTAAATAACTTACTTATTATTTAAGATGGGTTACTTCTCTTTACTAATTTAAAAAATAATTTTCAGACTTTTACTGAACTAAAGAAAGTCAACTTTACCCGCAATGGTTACCATGTGTCTTTTGATGCTAATGGAGACCCTGTGGCTGCTTATGACGTTGTCAACTGGCAGATAAGTGACAGTGGGATTATTGAGCCGGTAAATGTAGGGTACTATGATGCATCACTGCCAAAAGGCCAGGAGTTTCATATTAACAGGAACTTATCCTGGTTCGATGGAGGCAGTCAGGTAACAGCAACTTCCTCATCTGTTTGAAAACAGCAGTGCTGTAAACCTACACTTTCCATTTTATATTTCTGTTTCAGGTACCGGTGTCAGTTTGCTCCAAGAGTTGTGCTCCAGGGACTCGCAAAGTGTTGCAGAAAGGAAAGCCCATCTGCTGCTATGATTGTATACCATGTGCAGAGGGAGAGATTAGCAATATGACAGGTGACCCTGATTATGTGTTTATTTCTATCATCAAATATTTTAGATACAAACATCCCTTTATGACTGATCTTTTTTTTTCTTTTTCAGATTCCCTGGAATGCATCCCATGTTCCAAAGAATTCTGGCCTAATGCAGGAAATGATGAATGTTTCCCCAAACAAGTAGAATTTCTTTCATTTGATGATTTACTGTCAGTCATTCTGGCTGCGTTTTCAGTTAGTGGGGCCTGCATGGCCATTATCACAACAGTGGTTTTCTTTCATTACAGGACAACTCCAATTGTCAGAGCTAACAACTCTGAACTAAGCTTCCTACTCCTCTTCTCTCTGACTCTGTGCTTCTTATGTTCATTAACTTTTATTGGAGCACCTTCTGAGTGGTCCTGTGTGCTCCGGCACACAGCATTTGGCATCACCTTTGTTCTCTGTATCTCCTGTGTTCTTGGGAAAACTATAGTTGTTTTGATGGCATTTAAAGCTACACTTCCAGGTAATAACACCATGAAATGGTTTGGTCCTCCACAGCAAAGATTGACTGTAGCAGGCGTTACCTTTATTCAAGTCATAATATGTACAATATGGTTGGTTGTAAGTCCTCCCTTCCCAATGAAAAATCTGCACACCTACAAGGAGAAGATCATCCTGGAATGTGCATTAGGCTCTGCTGTTGGTTTCTGGGCTGTGCTTGGCTACATCGGCTTGCTGGCAGTTTTTTGTTTTGTTTTAGCTGCTCTAGCTCGGAAACTACCTGATAATTTCAATGAAGCCAAACTGATCACCTTCAGCATGTTAATATTCTGTGCAGTCTGGATCACCTTCATCCCAGCATATGTCAGCTCTCCTGGAAAATATACAGTGGCTGTGGAGATATTTGCCATTCTGTCGTCTAGCTTTGGCCTGATGCTGTGTATATTTGCTCCAAAGTGTTTCATAATTTTGTATCAGCCAGAGAAGAACACAAAAAAACATCTAATGAACAAATATTGATTGTACTTTATTGACAACACAATAAATCTGAAACTGGTCTATTCTTTGAAGTCAACTTTTATTTTTAAACATTATTTATCTATACTAACTATTAACACACAGCTATACTCATTGAAAGTAATTATACCATTGATACTTTGTTTAATTGTGACTTATTGGAAAATCACCTGTACATCAGCTTAAAGGACAAATAAAATGAAAAACTTCAGCAGTTTACTTTTTGTTTTTTTGCCTCATATTTTTTAAACATATATAACTTTTAACCTATATAATAATAAAAAAAACTGATTGGTTCATCATGATAAGGTGATAAAACATGAATTTGTGTCCTCGGGCAAACAATTAACCCTTTCACATATACACATATCTTCAAGTAGTGTTATGCTTGAATGCTTTCACTGAAGGGCCTTCACTGAATATGTTCATATTTTTGGTAAACAGTGAACTGAACTAATCAGTTTTGAAGTACTGAACGTGAACAAGGGCAACGTTCACTCTAAGAATAACGAGCAACGTGCACATCTCACATTCACGCTCATTTGAAAACAACACATTTTTCATTGGATAACATCATGTTTTACGGCTAACAGCATGACAGCCCAGCATGTTTACTGCTAGTACTAGTTTGTGCGATTTAGACTCATCTACTGGTATTTCTGATGCCAGTTTTGCAGAGTGCTTGGCAGAGTTTTATGAACCAATATAGGAATACTTCGACTTAAAATTAAAATTAACACATAAAGCGATTGCAGTAGCCAATATCTTGGGAAATATCGGCTACTGAATGAGGAATGTAAGAAGTCCTTTTTCATACAGATCTTTTCAGCTGAACCTGAGTGCACCTTTATGTTTCTGAAGTTCCGTGTAATTTGTGCTTGATTGCACATACTGTATACCTTACTGCATTGAGCATTTTCCATTTCTTTCTACATATTATAGTCTATCGTGATGGATTTTGGCCTGATTTACCAAATGGTCTTGAACTAGTTCACTTATAATTTTATTAACTTAGTTCATTTTTTCAAAAAAACGAACTATGAACATGAACGTGAACTGAACTGAACTTTGAGCTTGTTCTTTTTGATTATAAATTGGCACAACATTACCGTTAAGTCTCAGACAAGCTCTTCACATAATTGCTATTATTTCTATTCAATGGATTATCTGTGTTTAGATTAGGGTAATAAGGTAATAAGGTAATGTGGTTGCAGGCCTGTCAGACTATTCACAAAGGACGCTCTAAAGGATAACTTTCAAGACTTATATCTGTAGCCCCTCTTGTCACAGCAACATGAAACTACAAAATGATGCCTTATACATAACCATAGATTAAACACCAATTCACAAACCATTGGCCTACTTCATGAATTTATAGGAAGTCAGCAGCTCCATAGATAGAAAAAATTTGGTATATTTGTTGATCTAAAAAAGCAATTGACACAATTGATCACAATGTGCTTAATAAGAAATGAGAGCATTATGGTGTATGAGGGTGGTTCTGGAGCAAATGAGGAGGTTTTTATGTAACAGGCACTAATTCTTTTCCAAAACACCAAAAATGTTCCTGATTCCAATATAACTTAGTTTCTGTTCCAGCACATATCATATTACAAAACTTAATTGAATATTATAACTTCAGTGCAGGGGCCATAAGAAAACCAGCTTTAAATGGACACTAGTCCCTGTCTAGAACCACAGATGTGTATCTGTGCTCTCTATCTCCTGCAGTTTTTCAACTATTATTACATCTTAATCCAATACTTACATGAAGGTATTTTCCTAAGCCGCTTTTAAAAGAACAAATAGTATAGACTGCTAATATTTTGAATAACTGATGGGAGACTTGTAGCTGACGTTGAACAGTGCTTCACAGTGTATGTGTGTGAGTCAGGATTTTAAGATTTAAGACAATTATGGTCCAATATACTGAAATGTCCTGAAATATGTGAGTCAGAATTTTAAGATTTGACAAAGTCCTAGATGAGCAGTGTCCTTGTGTGTCATATCAATAAACAAAAAATTAACAAACTAAGAGGTAGAGAAACTGCTCCGCAACTAATTGAGAGGACCAGAAACCAGTGGTGACTGGTTCAGTTTTCTCCAGTGGGAGCCACAAATTCAAAATAGACGGATACCAAAAACCAATCAAATGTATAAAAAGTTATCACACCAGTTTATTTATATGAATGCCATCAACAAAAAACAACATTATAAAAACTCTTAATAAAATCAAAAACATAATTTCATTCATGTACAGGTTTACTTTTTGTATATACATTTCCCCTTTCTGAGGCTTTGTTAAAGCAAATCTGTATTTTGCATGGTCCAATATAGTGTCACAAAGCTAAAAAAAAAGTAATGTAGCAGTTTAATAATGGATAAGCTGTTAGTTAATTTATAAAAACTATTCATTTTCTGAGAATGTGTTTAGAGCAACTGTGCAAATGAACAAACATCTAGAAAAAGTATGCTATATTATATT